GTCTCAATGTTGTGCAGCAAACTTTAAATAAGCTTCAACAAGCTTTTTCTTCAGCAGCGAAATCTTGCATGGTAAGCGTGCATACAGGCCATAGAGGCTAAGCAAATTATTTGTTTTCTTTGAAATAATTGTACCTGCTAATTCCAGGTCCTCCTGAAGCTTTCCACAAGCGGTCATGGGTTCTTGGACAATTCTTCTTATAATTCTTTTCACTCCTCTGTCAGAAATCTTGCGAAGAGCACCTGGTTGTGGCCAGTTTATGGTGAAATGATGTTCCTTCCACTTTTGGATTATGGCCCCAACAGTGCGCACTAGAACATTCAGAAGTTCAGGAATCCTTCTGTAACCAATGCCACCAGCATGTTTTGCAACAATAAGATTGCGAAGGTCTTGAGATAGGTCTTTGCTTTTACCCATCAAAAGAGATTTGTTTGTGACACCTTGGTAACGAGACACCTTTTTATAGGCCAGCAGTTGAGACTGAACCAGCTGATATTCATTTGCACTGACAAGGGGGCAGAATTGCTTTCTAATTAAATGGTAGATGTCAGCCAGGAATGCACTGAAATATCGGCAGCTGCAAAATAGTGTTATTGAAATTTTGCAGATAGGAAAAAAGGCGCAGATGGTGGCCGCCTAAAACGCATAATTTTGCCATGTTCAGGGCGTGTTTTTCATAGGTCATGCTACTAAAAAAACAACAAAACAAAATACGTGTGCATTTTTTATGGGTTTTCAATGCATTTCAGGCCTGGTTCACGCCAATGCAGTTTGCGTTTTGTCGGTTTTGCATTTCTGCACGCATGTTTGACATATTTTTGATGTGTTCTGCGTTTTTTTTTTTTTTGGTAGGCCAACTTGTTGCTGGGCAGATAAATGCAAAACGCATCAAAAACGCAACACGTGTGTTTTTTTGCCGCATGTTCAATGCATTTCAATTTGCATTTTATCAGTTTTGCAAAGTGTTTTTTGCAAGCACATTTGACACTTTATGCATTTTTTATTTTGGCCAGCTTATTGCTGGTAAAGCGCATCACATGTGTGTTTTCAATACATTTCAGGCCTGGTTCACACCAATGCAGTTTGTGTTTTGTCAGTTTTGTAGTTCGTTTTGTATGCACGGTTTTGCAAGCACATTTTTAACGCTTTTTTTTAATGTTTTTTTCCAGTGCATTTCAGGCCCGACGCATCTTTTGAAAAAAATATTTGTGAACTTGTTGCTGGGCAGATTAAAAATGCAAAACGCATAAAAAAAATGTGTGAAACCGCATCAAAAATCCTACATGCGTTTTCTACAGTGTCTCCATGAAAAAAAACATTGCATTTAAAAATTGTCCCTGACCCCTTTCCGAAAACGCAGCAGCTCAAAAAAGAAAAAAAAAAAAAAACAAAAAAAAAAAACACAGATGTGAATGTGTCCCATAGGAAACCATGTTAAATTGACTGTAGTGCATTTCTGCGAAAAGCCCTAAAAAAGGCATTCGTGTGAAACAGAAATTAATGGAGAGATGCATTTTGGCGTTTTTTGTTTTTTTTTAATTTAACTCGCCTGAATATGCACCAAAAATGCAGCAATCAGGATTTTAACACCACAAGGGATGCGCAATGGACCAGTGTGAAGCCATACATTGAATATAAAGGAATGCATTTTTCTTGAACTTTTTGTGTGGCTTTTATAGATTTTTTTTTTTTTTTTTTTTTTTTTTTTTTTGTTAAACTGTCCATTTTCGGTTTTCGGCCACATGCATCCTGAATTTATGGTTACGGTTCTGGTCCAAGAATTTTCATTTCGGTGCACCACTAATTTCAGCTGGTGTCTAGTCTTTCCATGCCTATTTGCAACTCCCTTTCTTCATGTGTTCAAAACTTTTTTCCTGTGTCATTCCATTTTATTACACAAATTAATTTCTGAACTTATTTGCTTTGGTTTCTTTGTATGTATGGATTGTATTGATTGCCACCGACGTGGTGAAAATGTCAACTCAATGGTACCTTTAAAAATTTCTTTACCTAGAAAAATGGTGACGTGTTCAGTACTTAATTTACCCACTGTAAGTCAGTGTGCCAAAAGACATCATTCTGTGTATCGGGAGGTGTGCAACTGGTGCTATTCTGATCATGTGCATTAACACGTCTGCTATTATATTATGGACAGCAAACTAGAACAGAGAGCAAATGTGAAATTCTACATGAAACTGGGCAAGTCTGATGTTTGACATGATTCGGCAAGTTTATGGAGATGCTGCAATGAGTTGTTCAAGGTGTTTTGAGTGGCATGTATGCTTCAAGAGCAGACGAACATAACTGGAAAACGACGCAAGATCAGGAAGACCTTCAACAAGCTCAACTCCTGAAAATGCCCTCTTCCTGAAGATGAAGATCCAGCGCAAAGGTTGCAGTTTTGACAGCATTGCAGAGATCCAGTGATTTGCCCAGTTTCACGCAGAATTTCACATCTGCTCTTTGTCCATGCTTTCCATGATGAAATAGCAGATGTGGCAACACACATTGTCAGAATAGCACCAGTTGCACAGCTCCCGATGTACACAGGATGATGTCTTTTTGGCAAACTGACTTATGAAGGTTGGTGCTCTGTGTGACTGTCTGTAGCCTTGTGCTCCATCTTGTTGGCATGTTACAAAACTAGCCTCGAAACATTTTGATACCACCTCGCACATGGTTTGAATCTCGGCCAGTCCCTGCTGAGCTGGCCAAGATTCGAACCGTCTATGGCCAGTTAAGTCTGTTATTTCTCAACTTACTTTAACAGACCAAGCTGTCTAGACAAAGCAATGGTTTAGAGGGCTGAGACAAACCATTTACACTGGTGGGTGCTTACAATGATCAACTTTTATTCATTTATGTAAACTTTTTAACCCAAAAGGAAAAAAAAAAACGGTTTGCTGTAACTGCTTATAAAGTTTTAGCTGTTCGGCTTAAAAAAAATGTAATATATTACAGCTCAACAATCATTTGATGTATTAGCTATATGAGTTTTGTTTTTTTTCTCAGGCTTCCCCCCCCCCCCCCCCCCCCCTCTGTTTTCACCTGGTTATCTGGCCAGTAACACGCCTCCTGTATTATACAGACACCACTTTGAATGAAAGAGCACAGGATGCAGATTTGGACAGCAGCATTGTTAATCTTGGGGGGGAGAATGTTAGAAGTACTAGAAAGTTTAAATACAATAACAAATTGAAGCCAAACTCCAGCTAACACTTTATAATCAGTTACAGCAAACTTTTTTTTTTTTTTCCTTTTGGGATAATTGTTCTACAAAAATAAAAGCTGATCATTTTAAGCACCCCTACCGGTGTTAAACGGTCTGCCTCATCCCTGTAATTGTAAGAGCTTTTTTTGCTGAAAACAAGACTTACTGGCTTGATCACAAGATGAAAATAGAAGAAAAAATGCATAAAAAGGAAATGAACATAGCCACCACATAAAGGAATTGGTAAGCTGCAATATAATAAACTGTTTACTTTTGGGTTTAATGCTGCTTTAATTTGTGAGTCAAGTCCATTTACATCTGCTAGTCTAACGCTACATTCTCCCAGATTGACAGTGCTGCTTGTCCAAAGCTTTTTACTTCACTACTTCACACAGAATGCAAACACAATAAAGTGATTGTAAACCCGCACATATACCCCATGCAGTGACTTGCCTCAGGTGATACACAAAGATCAAATTCTTCTAAACAAGTTGTACCTGTGTGTTTACAACCCTCTGTTCTCTACATCCATTGAAAGTGCAGAATTTACACAGGATCGTCCAGCAGTGAAAAGGAGGGGGCTGAGAGCTGAAGTTACACTCTGCACAGCTCAGTGAGGGGAGCTCTGAGAGGTGATTGGAGGGAGGAATACACTCCCCTTCACACAGCTCGCAGGAACAGAGCTGAGCTGGAGATCCCTCCCCTGACACCTTTCTTCTCTTTGTGTCAGGAAAATTTGTCAGAAGTGACTCAGACTGATAGGAGAGGAACAAGACAGTAGAGAGAAATAACACTGTGCACTGGATTGAGACAAGTACACAGGATTGAGACAAGTACACACACTATAAAAGGTATACACTTTGTTCAAGTGAGAGGTTTACAACCACTTTAAGATAGAAAGTGTGTTACTGGCTAAATCACCAGGAGAAATTAAAGAAAAAACAAAAAAAAAAAAAGCAAACAAACTAATGCAGCCACCATATCGAAGGACTGGCAAGCTGCAATGTTTTTTGAGGTTTAATACTACATTAATAGTACAAATCTATGAATAAAGGTATGTGTGGAAGTAATTAAAACCATGTGTTCGTATCACTTTTTAGGATTTGTTGCTGCACAAAGACTATGTAGTTGTGTCTTGTTGACTTGCTTTTGGAGCTGGAGCAAAGTGTCCCTAAAGTGGAGCTTTACTCAAAAAGGGAAGTTCTGCTTTAAGTCTTCCCCGCCTCCTCTACCTAATTTGGCATGAAACCTTTTGGGGAGGGGGAGCAGGTACCTAGTTTTGAAAAAAGGATGGTCTCGTCCTTCCTCCCAGCAGTCACCTGGGATGCGTCACAAGTTCCAGGCGACTGCAGGACCATTCACAATGCACAGAGCGGCTCATGCATGCACAAACAACACTTCAGATACCAGCACTGGGAACCCAAAGGCTAGTGAAGAACTGGGTAAGGAAGGCTTTGGATCCATGGACAGGTACAGCAAGTGTCCTATTATTAATAGTCAAAAGCTACAGAATTTGTAGCTGCTGACTTAATTTTTTTGTTACAGAGTGGAGAACCACTCTAAACTCTACAACCACACTGCAGATTGCAGCCTGGAATCAACTTCTACTGGATGGAAATTAAGGCAAAATGTCAATGACACATGTCCTTGCAGTCTACTAAAATTCTCTAAATTGTAAACACTGTATGACAAGAGGAAAAAAAAAAAAAAAAAAAGGATTAAAACAAAAATCACAAGCAATCCTGGCAGTAACAATAAATCAGTACAATGAAATTCAAGGTATACACACCATTTAATTGTGCTTCTGAGGTTAGGCTGACTGACTGTGCTGTCATCTAGGAATATCGTGGAACATGAGCTGTACTTCTTTGTAAGCTGCCCGGGAGAGACCTAGTAAGATGTGTTAAAAGATAGATTAAAAATGTAAAGAATTGTATCTCTACACCAAGTAAATTTTACCTATTTTGTTTTTATATGCATGCAGTCTTTAGTTTCATCCATCTCCTGACAATGTAAAGATTTAAAATTAGACCAAACTTTGGAACTGTAGTGTAGTGATGTAGAAGCTGGTGGAAGAACCACTGAACAACAGGGGACATAGAAGATTGATACTGACAGGTGTGGGTTTCTGGAGAGACTTCAGAGAACAATTTCTCTTAACGTAGACAAAAGTAAAAATGTGTACTTATGAAATCTTACAGGATGATAAACTTGCCCTTAGACTCTAAAGCACCACTTTCAGGATACTTATTAGTGCAGGTTAATAATAACATGCTAAAGGCAGAAGCACCCAACAATTCAGGTAAAGTGGTGGTTGAGGTTTTTAGGCCACTAAAAAAGTGGACCTAACCTTTAGGGTGATCTTGCATTGCACTGCTTCATTTGATCAATAGATGGCACCAGAGCACTGAGTGCAGGAAACGCACAATAGGGAAACAATAAAAGGATCATTAAAACGGAGCAAGGCAGCTGTTTTGCAGTCTTCAAGGCTGCATTAATTACTAGAAATAAAAAGAAAATGTTTGGCTAAATGTTTGCAAAAAAAAAGAAAAACAAACTGTGTGAACAGAGCCCATAGCTTAGATTAGTATAAATGAGCAATTATACCAGCCTTTTTTCCTTGATGAACCCCTCTCCCAAAAAAAATAATATAATAAATATATATATATATATATATATATAAAACTATAAACATAGATAGATATAGTTCTCTATCTATATCTATGTATCAGGAAACCCCAAAATCATTTTCTGATCCACAGCTCATGGTATGTTAGTGCATAGATGATATTAAAGAACAAATAACATTTACACTAACAGTGCACTAGTGCGCAGTGGAAAATGCATTTACTTTACAGTTTGTTTAACCCATTCGCTGCCAAAGATTTTTTTTGTTATTTCCTTAGCTTGCTTACTAAATTAATTTTTGTTAAGTATTCAAATACACCCCAAACCCCAAAAATATTATTGGTCTCTGGGACTAAGCCCCAGTAGGGGAAATACTGTATACAAGTGGAGAGTGGTCTAAGGGGACTTGATATGCTCTGCTAACAAAAAAACTGGTGATTGGAAAAGAAGTATTAGACTAGACTATCAAACGGCAAACGCATGGCTGCTGCCTGCACTTAACATGTAATGACAATGCAAGCACGATGAGTATTCGCAGTGTGTTTCTGAAACGCATGGCAACGTATACGTTGCGTAGCTTGCCATGCGTTCGGAAACTCACAGATGCGAGTCCTCTCCCCTAGAACAAAAAGCAGTTACCCCTGCTGTGGGCACAATGCACGGGCAGAAAAAAAAAAAATTTGCCTGGAATTCTGCTCTACCAGTTTTCATGTCCTAAAGGTATGTCCAGGAAGTAATGAAGTTTACTATACAACAATCTAGAGCCTGAGGTAAGGGCTGTGTGCAGATAATAGAAAGCTTTTTCTTTTCTGCAAAATGGGTACATTAGAGGTATATTGGTACACAGGGAAGCTGGACTTTAGAGCAAAAAAAAAAAAAAAAAAAAAAAAAAAAAAAAAGGATGAACTTGGCCTTTAATACCCAAATTAAGAAATTATACAAGTCTACAGTTATATTTTACTGCCTGGAGCATTTCTTTAGGGAATCAACCAGAAGTTATTGATATCAGCGAGGTATGGTGTCAGAGTTCTATTACAGTTTCAGCGGTACCAGTTAGGGAAACCATCTAGGATACATCCAGGAGTTTTGGATGTGGGAAGTTGGCCAGTTATCTTTGCAAATTCTTCTGTAGTGAAGAGATGAGGATAAGACCTGCAATTGTTCCACGCAGGTACAGGGAGAAATGCAAACTCCAGGCAGGTAGTGCCACGGTTAGGATTCCAACCAAAGGCCCTAGAGCTGCCAGGCGGAAGTGCTAACCATTTAGCCACAGTGCTGTTGGTCAGTTGTTTTAGATGTAGGATGTACGGTGATGGCATCTGACTACAATTCATATAGTGAGGAATACATTTTTTTTGGCTTAATGTATTGGGGCCAGTCACTTACGGTTGCGTCACTGTAAAAGATAAAAGATTCTATTGCTGATGTGATGATTCTTAAAGCGGAACTTCATTCTCCCAATCAACAATGACTATTTTTAATCCTAATGCTGCTAGCATTAGCAAATAGATAAAGTATACTATATTTACTTGTTTTAAACTTTTTCCCCCCAGATATTTCCTGGTTTCCATGCCAAGGCAAATGATGTCCTACATCCTAAGAGTCTTCAGGATGCAAAGAGGATCTTTCTCAGCTAGGGCGGATGGATTGCAGATTCTAGGAAGTAAACTCATCTGCCCTTACTTAAGATGGCCATGGCCAGAAATGCTAGAGGTGTTTTTTCAGTGATTTCTTGGCAAATGAAAGCATGGAGACAGATGAGGAAGTTCACTTTGAATATTAAAAATGATTGTGTTTTTGGTTTGTGTTGCTTAGATGCAGTGTAGTTCCCCTTTAATGTGCCTTGCTAGGGAAGCGCCTGCTTTATTGTTGTGGGTAATGAATTTGCCTTTGGAATTATAAGATTTTGTTCATAATTGTAAAGGAGAAGACATGTGAGGGTTTGTGTGTCTTTCAGGAGTTCTGTTGATATTTGCAGTGTAGAGTGCTTTTTATTATTCTCACTTAACTTTATCCTATGTAATAACTGATCAGTTTGGCGGGTGTATCATTTTTAGTGTGAACACAAAGTTTACTCAATACGCCTCTCCTGTATGGTTTATGAGCATTCCACAGTGTATAGCCATTAACGTATTTTATTAATAGCAAAGAAATGCTTTTGAGCTTCAAGACGTTTCTGGTTGGGTTCTGCAACTGACAGAGGGGGGTCATGTTATTTGTGTTGTATTCAGCAATATTGACAGGGATAGGTGCATGGTCTGACCATGAGATTATCTTGATCAAGGAGGACAACATTTCATTTTGCATCCTTAATCACTTGACCTCTGGAAAGTTTTACCCCTTTCATGACCAGGGCATTTTGTGCTACTCAACATGGTGCTACATACTACTAACTGGCAATTACTTGGTCAGGCAACACTGTTCCCAAATGAAATGTATATTTTTTTTTTTTCCACACAAATAGAGCTCTCTTTTAGTATTGGTTTATTTGAAAGTTATATCGTCTACAAGCTATGGTATAAACTCTGGGATTTATGCAGCTATAGAGAAGCTATACTAGTAGTGGCAGTGACCAGCAACTTATGGTTTAGCGGGCAATCTGGTACTGATACTGGCTGGGAGGGACACTGAGACACGGACATCGCTAGTGACACTAATACATTGATCAGTGATAACACTGTACTAAAAACACTAATGGGTGACAAGGGTGATGGGAAGGGCAATCAATTAACTGTGTGCCTAACAAAGTGTATGTGTACTGTTTTTACTCACAGGATCTGGCTGTCTCTTCTCCTTGAACTCACAGTTGATTTCAGGTAGAACAGCCAGATTGCTGTTCTGTGTGTTTGGTAAGCACAGAACTCTGTGCTGGGATTAGCCCACAGTTGATAAGCAGGTATACAACCAAAATCATTGACTGCAGCCTGCTGACAAACTTGCGTGGTGTCAAATCCCAGGACATGCCAGCAGGGGGTGCGTATATACACAACCAAAAAACAGGATGTTCACTGTGATGTACGGATATGTCGAGGTACACTGTGTGTTGCTGACTAGTACTAAATGTACGGTTAGCAAGGCAAGTGGTTAAAATGTTTACATTTAATATTATACTTTTTTTTTTTTTTACTTTATTGGCCTCACTAGCAGGCTGACAAGTCCCCATGTGATAGCACATTTAAGCAACAGGTTCTCTTTATGGTGGCACTGGCATGTACACTGCTACACAGTCTCTGCTTAGAGTTTTGAAGGGGGTTAAAAACCTGTGGCTCTGCCAATAGTCCAACCACAAAAATAACAAACATGGTCTGTTGAAACATTTTCTCTCATCCTACCCTGGCAGAGACAGGAAAAACACTGCAGATGTAAATGTGGGTGGGATCTTTCAATCTGTATCCTTACCTATTCAGGTGAGAGAAGCAATCTCTCAGTTGGTAGTCATGAAGGAGGAGGGTGAAATCAAAATTGTATGACTATCACAGGAGCAAGCAGAGCAAAATTATGAAGACACCTGTTCTGATGACTGCTATCAGGTGGGAAATTTCCCTCACATTGGAGTAAGTTACATTCACTTCCTATTACATCTCTGGGACAGGAAGCGCAGTAGTGGGTCCCCATGTGGGGACACACAACACTAAAAAACTAGCTAAGGTTCCAACTCCTAAATCTAGAAAAAGGGCAGCTCTTCTTTAACTGACCTGAATTTGTTCAGAAGAGTACATCTGTTTTGTCAAAATTGGAGTTCACCTTTTATGTTTACAATATACTGCTAAGAACAATTAAACTAGCAAAGTAAATAACAGAGTCAAAGTCAAAAAAAAGTATCACTAATGTCACAATAAATCAAAAGATTACTATAACTTACATGATTTATATGGTTGCTCTTCCTCTTTTCTCTCACTATAAAAAAAAAGCAAATACAAGATTAGTAAATCTTCAACACATCCAGCATACATACCAGCTGGGAACCCTTTGCGCTGTTGTGCGTCAGGCACTTCTGTTACAAAAGCATTTAAGAATGTCTAGGTTTACAATGCCCTAAAAAAACAAAAAGCAGTTTAGGCATGATCACAGGTATTCCAACAAAAGTTGTGGAAGGATGTTATAGAGGCTAGATACAAATTTCTTAAAGTGAACCTATAGTGATAGAATATTGTCTTGTGGAAATGCTAGATAACTGGCTCTCTATACATTTCCAAAGCTCAAGCACTTTCTGAGGTTTCAGACTTGGAACAAGAATTTAGACCAGGAATTCAGAGTGCATTCTGCATGTTTGTTCATGGGCAGTGACTCGGAAGGGACTGACATCAGAGACAGCCAGGCAAGTAGTATTCTTAGAAAGAGGTCAGCAATGGCAGCTCACATATTTCCTTCAGGGCCAGTTCACAATACAAAAAACACACTCCGGATGCATTCCAGATACGTTTTTGCTTACAGTTCACACCACATGCAGTTCCAGGGCAGTTTGCCATGTTCCAGTATGGTTCTGTGCAGAAAACATGCAGCACATTCTACTTTTTTCTCTGCACCAGAAACTGACTGCACCAGTGTGAACTAGGGCCACTGGAATACATGGAAAACACTGTGCATGCATTTTTGATGCAAAAAAAAGCGCACTGGACTGCATCTAATGTGAACTAGCCCTCACTGCAGGCTTCTTCAATCACTTGCTGTCTGCCCATTGCACTTAAAACAGTCAGACTGCGCACTACTGAGGGCGTATTAAAATGCCCTTTCTCTCTTGCCACTCATGCATGTGTTCTATGCAGCAATTATTTTACTTTTATATAAAAAACAAAACAATGTCAGTTGAACATCCAGTCAGTGTCCCTGATCACTAGCCACTCCAGTCAGTATCACTATGGTGACACTGTACTAGGGTGGCTATTGATCAGGGACACTGGCTGGCGGCTAATTAGAGACATTGAACTTTTGGTCACAAAATGCTAAAGAACCTAAGACAGAAAAAAGCAGCAAGTTCACACAACTTCTAGCAGAGAAAACTTGGGTTCTGAGGATAAGTGAACTTACCTATTAGGCATATATAAACCCCAACATTGAACTTCCCTTATTTGCTCCCCTTTGTTCTGATAAAGTCCAATTGGATTCAAGCCAAAATAGGGCAGTCACTTACACTGTTCTTAAAGCTTCAACTGTCAAGTGTTGTAGCTTACAGAACCCTTTGCAGCTTTCCAGCACAAACCCAAATAGGCTGTATAGAAGAAATGCTGCTCTCTGTGCATTCTCTCCTTGGCAAGCATTGCCAGTTGGTGTGCTGTAGTGCCAGTAAGGCAAGGTGAAATGTCAGACCACTGTTCTCACACAAGTAGCAAATATTAGAGACCTTGTTGAAAAAAAGCAGTTCAAAGAACAGAAAAATCAAAGTATTTAAAAAGCTTACTTGCAGTGCTTTTTATTTCCATGAATTTTTTATTCACTTGAAGTGTGCCCTTGAACTCGTTAGAAATTTTATCTACTGCAAGAAGAGTTCACTCCCTAGCACAACCCCCTCTCTTCTTGCATGTCATAGCTGTTTATCCTTCTCCGAGGGTTTAATTATGATCTCTGCTATCCAAACTCTTCAACCAAGCTATAGCCAGCAGCACTGATCAGAGAATTTTGACAGCGGGGAAGTCTTCCCACTGTCAGAACATAATAGCTCAGTGAGGAGGATTCCCCCATCCACCTTAAAATGTGTGGATGGGGGAATTGGGTCAGTTTTTTTTCTTCCATTCAACCTGCTGATTAAAAAAAAGAAAAAAAAAAAAAAAAAAAAAAAAACAAACAAAACAAAAACAAAAGAAAACAAAAAAAAAAAACCAAAACACTATGGGCTGCTTAACCATTTGCCCTCGTGAGGATTTACCCCCCCCCCCCTTCCTACCAGGCTATTTTTTGCGTTACGGCACTGTGTTACTTTAACGGACAATTGAGCGGTCATGCAATGCTGCACACAAATGAAATTTACGACTTTTTTTTCCCATGGATTGAGCTTTCGGCGGTATTTGATTTTTTTTGCGATATAATATATAAATATTTTGAGAAAAAAAAAAACATTTTTGACTTTTTGCTATCAAACATGTCCAGTAAAAATTAAAATAAAAAAAAAAGAAAGAAATTTCATCATAAATTTACGCCAAAATGTATTCTGCTACATGTCTAAAACAAGTCTACATGGCTAAAAACAAAAATACCAATACGTGTAAATTAATTGGTTTACGTGAACGTGAGAGCGTTTACAGAGCGTTTACAAATGGCGGTATATATACACTGGGGTGATTATATAGCGGGACTGCAGCAGACATTCTGACACTGGGGTTAACGGACTTGGTGTCACTGACATCCCCAGTGACACCAATACAGTGATCAGTGCTAAAAAAAAAAAAAAAAAAAAAAAAAAAAAAAAAAAAGAAGAAACACTGACACTGTACAAAATGGCACTGGGCAGGAAGGGGATAACATGAGGGATGAACAAGGGGTTAACTGTGTACCGGGAGTGTTTTACTAGGCGGCTGTGTCAGTGTGCCTGAGCTGACAAGGAGGAGAACTGTTAGTAAACAAAATTGTTCTCGTCCCTGTTGGAGATCCTCGGAAATCACCGGGCACTGGTGAGTAATCACCGTCCGGGACCTGGTGATTGACAGCATGCACCCCCTACCCGGAAGTGCAAAATCACACATACATACACATATTATGAGCTAGAAATCGCACCGCACCAAAAGTAGTGCATGCATTTTTAAATTGCACTTTAACCAGATTACATAGTACAAGAGTATCATGTGATCTGCAGGGGCAGACTGACAACTCATGGCACCCCCGGGCATTAGGGGATCATAGGGCCCGTGTCCTCGCCCACACTCAAATCACACCCAAAAAAGCCTATGAAAGGTACCAGGGACATATCATGGGGCCCCCTACTGACCCGGGCCCTCGGGCAGTGCCCGAGTTCCCCAATGGTCAGTCCACCCCTGGTCATCTGGTGAGAGTAAACAGACTGCATTTGCGACCTGTGTTTGGGGTGTTAGCTTTCTATTGACACCCACTGCAGATCGCAAACGGAGTGCATTTTGCATGCGGTATGAAACACAACATGCTAGTGTGCGGGCATGGTGTGAACAAGGCCGAAGAAGAAGTGTGCTGCTGGTAGAAGTATGAGATGAAAATAAGAGAAGCCTGAAGAAAAAAAAAATCTAGCCACCACATCTAAAAACTGGTAAACTGAAATACACTGCTTAAAAAAATTACCGTATTTTTCGCTCCATAAGACGCACTTTTTCCCCCCAAAAAAGGTGGGAAAATGTCAGTGCGTCTTATGGAGCGAATGTAAAGCGGCCGGTCCGGTATTTCTGCCGCCACCATGTCAGAATATCGGGCCGGCCGCTCAGCTGTTCTCTCCTGCAGGACCTTACCTGTTCCTCGCTCCAGCGCTGCAGTCTTCCCGCGGCGGCTTCTGTGACAGCCGGGTGCCCACTGCGCATGCGCAAGAAGCGCCGCGCTTTGTGAATGGTCCGGTGTCTTCTGGGACACATGACAGGTCCCAGAAGGCTCCGGGCCATTCACAAAGCGCAGCGCTTCTTGCGCATGCGAAGTGGGCACCCGGCTGTCACAGAAGCCACCGCAGGAAGAAGGGAGGACAACTCCGCAGAAGTGGGTGCAGGTACCTGTCAAATTCAGGTACCTGTTGCCCCTCCCTCCCCAAAGGTCCGCAGTCTCTGGTCATCCCCTGTACTGTGCCCGCAGTCTCTGGTCATCCCCTGTACTGTGCCCGCAGTCTCTGGTCATCCCCTGTACTGTGCCCGCAGTCACTGGTCATCCCCCTGTACTGTGCCCGCATCTCTGGTCATCTCCTGTACTGTGCCCGCAGTCTCTGGTCATCCCCTGTACTGTGCCCGCAGTCTCTGGTCATCTCCTGTACTGTGTCCGCAGTCTCTGGTCATCATCTCCTGTACTGTGTCCGCAGTCTCTGGTCATCTCCTGTACTGTGTCCGCAGTCTCTGGTCATCTGCAGTCCAGTCCATTGGTTCAGAATATTTTTTGTCTTGTTTTTCTCCTCTAAAACCTAGGCGCGTCTTATGGTGCGAAAAATACGGTAAACACTTTTTAATTAGAGTATAGCATCAAGTCAATTAAACTCCTGGGATATTGATCTAATCAGCTAAGTAGCAGAGGGGGCTGTTAATCAGTTTCAGCTGCTTTGGTGTTAATGAAAATAAGAGGTGCACTAGATTGGGGGATAGACTCATTGTTGCCAAACAGGAATGGTTTTACAAGTGAAGGCCACTGACTTTTTTTCCCCCTACTCCTCATTTTTGAATGTTTTTCACTAGTTTTGCATTTGGAGGGTCAGTGTCACTACTGGTAGCATGAGGTGATACCTGGACCCTACAGAGGTTGCACACGCAGTCCAACTCCTCCAGGATGGCACATCAATACATGCCATTGCCAAAAGGTTTGCGGAGTCTCCCAGCACACTCCCAAGAACATGAAGGAGATACCAGGAGACAGGCAGTTCCTCTAGGACAGTGGTCGGCAAGCCGCGGCTCGCGAGCCACATGCGGCTCTTTACACACTTTAATGCGGCTCTTCTGTGTGCCGGGCGCCCGCTCCCCTCCCTCCTCTCTCGGCGGCCGCCCCAAAAGTCAGGACTCTGCAGCTAGCCCAGCAATGGGCAAACTACAGCCCGGCGGACCATTTTAATATGGCCCACGGAGCGTGGCAAACATTGGCTGTCAGGATGTAGGCGGGGCAGCGTGACGAACTCCTCTCCCTCTCACAGTCCGCCCTGAAGACCGGAACGGCGCGGGAACACGGCGAGAGAAACGCGCGGAGCAAAGGTAAGTGAATTGACACAATATGGGGGATGAATTACTATAGGGGGGATGAATTACTATAGGGGGGATGAATTACTATAGGGGGGATGAATTACTATATGGGGGATGAATTACTATATGGGGGATGTATTTTCAGTTTTAAAAATGTGGCTCTCAAAATAAATTTCAATCGTGGTTTTGGCGAGATTTGGCTCAGTTGAAAAAAAAGGTTGCCCACCACTGCTCTAGGAGAGCGGGACAGGGCCATAGAAGGTCCTTAACCCATCAGCAGGACCGTCATTTGCTCCTTTGTGCAAGGAGGAACAGGATGAGCACTGCCAGAGCCCTACAAAATGATCTCATGCAGGCCACTGGTGTGAATGTGTCTGACCAAACAATCAGAAACAGACTTCATGAGGGTGGCCCGAGGGCCCAACGTCCTCTAGTGGGCCCTGTGCTCACACTGCCCGGCACTATAGAGCTCATTTGGCATTTGCCATTGAACACCAGAATTGGCAGGTCCTCCACTGGGGCCCTGTGCTTTTCAGAGATGCGAGCAGGTTCACTCTGAGCACGTGACAGATGTGAATGGGTCAGAAGCTGTGGAGAATTATGCTGCCCGTTACATTATTCAGCATGACCGTTTTGGTGGTGGTGGGTCAGTGATGGTCTGGGGAGACATATCCATAGAGGGACGCACAGACCTCTACAGGCTAGACCAGGGGTGGGCAAACTTTTTGACTTGAGGGCCGCAATGGGTTCATATATTGGACCCGGGGGCCGGACCAAGAGTAGATGAATGATGTGTATGTGTCATCCATAGTAAGTATAGTAATATTCCCCCCATAGTAAGCATAGTAATTAATCCCCCATATAGTAATTAATCCCCCATATAGGAATTCATCCCCCATATAGGAATTCATCCCCCATATAGGAATTCATCCCCCATATAGGAATTCATCCCCCATATAGGAATTCATCCCCCATATAGGAATTCATCCCCCCTATAGTAATTCATTCCCCAATTCCCCAAGTCCCCCCTGTGTCAATTCACTTACCTTTGCTCCGCGCGTTCCTCTCGCCGTGTTCCCTCGCCGTTCCGGTGTAGCATGAAAAAATCTGTCTCCTATGAGGATCTGTCCCCTCGACGTATCCGCGCATGTGCCAGTTTCAGGCATTAGCAGCCGATCGGCGATCTCCAGCACATGCGCAGATACGTCGAGGGGGACAGATCCTCATAGGAGACAGATTTTCATGCTACACCGGTCTTCAGGGCGGACTGTGAGAGGAGCCTAGCTCTCCTCGCGTTCGTCATGCTGCCCCGCCTACACACATCCTGACAGCCATCCTGACAGTATCACGCTCCGCGGGCCGGATTAAAAGGTCCGCCGGGCCGTAGTTTGCCCATTGCTGGGCTAGACAATGCCTGCCATTAGATATTGGGATAAAATCCTTGGACCCATTGTCAGACCCTACGCTGCTGCAGTGGGTCCTGGGTTCCACCCGGTGCACAACAATGCCCGGCCTCATGTGGAGAGAGTATTCAGGCAGTTCCTGGAGGATGAAGGAATTGATACCATTGAATGGCCCCCAAGCTTGCCTGACCTAAATCCAATAGAACACCTCTGGGATATCATGTTTCGGTCCATCCGGCACCGCCAGGTTGCACCTTAGACTGTCCAGGAGCTCAGTGATGCCCTAGTCCAGATCTGGGGGAAAATACCCCAGGACACCATCTGTCATCTCATTAGGAGCATGCCCCGACATTGTCAGGCATGCATACAAGCATGTGGGGGCCATACAAACTACATATTACCATTTTGAGTTGCTGCAATGAAATTTCAACGAAATGGATTAGCCTGCTGCATAATGTTTTCACTTTGATTTTCAGGGTCTCTTTGAATTCAGTCCTCTGTAGTTAGGCAATTTTCATTTCCATCAAAAGATGGGGCATCCTTACGTTCCTAACACATTACCCAATCCATATCAGTATAGATATTTAGCATATGTTTCCCCATTGACATCTGATGTGTTTTCAAAGTGTTCCTTTAATTTTTTGGAGCAGTGTACATTACATTTTGTTCCTGGGTTTGGGTGAACTTTAAGCAGATGAAAAAAAAAAAAAAGTCCTTACCATCAGTCTGGGACTTGCTGAGGAATATTGTGCTTGCTCTTGGATGGTCAGATGGGTTAGACTCCAGTGCAAGGTCTAAAATGAAACACAAATTTATGCATCAGTTAAAAATATTTATTGCACCCAATATTCCTACACAGCTCAGTATAAATACTCAGCATTACTGTAGCATATGTGTGTGATTAGAATGCAATATGTACTGCTCAGATAGCCTCTGGCTATATGCAAGTGATGGATTTTATTACTTACATTGACTCAAGTTAGACATGATTACACATCTACAGCACTTCAAATATTTTTCCTCCTTTTCTACTTTCTTCCCTGTATTCTGCTGTCTATAAGAGTTACACAGAACATTACATGAACACCTTGGTATAATATACCCCATCTTATGGTCCTCTAACACCCATGCTAATATAGATAGACTTGCTGAGTGTACTAGTTCGCTGGTAAACTCTGCATGTATTAGCCTGCATTGCCCCAAACAAATGTTTAGCCATGCATGCATGCAAATTATTGTTCATATTGTATAAATGGATTTGGCATTATGGGTGGTCAGGGTACTGGCAAGCTCTCTTTTCTACTGATGGATGATTTCTTTATAGGTTTGAACGGTTTGTGGTTTATCGCATCCCTAAAGAAGGGTCCCTACGCAGTCTTTAAACATTGCTTTTCTACGTGCTCATACAAGAATAAAGAGCTTTTCACTTTGAAACAAGTTTGTGGGTATGCTGGCAAAATACTTTTGTCATCTTATATTGACACTTTATTGCAAAGGCATGGTCTACTGATGCCCCTATCAAGAAGCTGGTTCTGACCAATGATAAAAGCCAATGCTAGAAAACGTGCATGCAGACAAAGTAGCTAAATAGTCCACGGGAGATCAGCAGCACCAAGATTCAAAAATAGCAAAAACAGTACTAAGGGGGAAAAAAAAAAAAAAAAAAACACCTCTACCATGAATACAATATATAGTTAGGTCCATATGTATTCGGACACAGGCCCAATTTTAGATTTTTTCAGGTATTTACCAAATCATTTTCAAGCTATAGCTATACAGCAGATATGGGCTGAAAGTGCACACGCTCAGGTTTAATTTGAGGGTATGTACATCCAAATTGTAGGAAGGGTTTAGGAATTACATCTCTTAAGAGTAGCCACCCCCCCTTTTTCAAGGGACCAAAAATAATTGGACAATTAAATCAAAAGCTGTTGTTTCATGGCCAGGTGTGAGCTACTCCTCTGTTATTTCTTCATCAATTAAGCAGGTAAAAGGTAGTGGTGCAACAAAACGAAAATTCTGGTGCCGAAAATGAAAATTCAAAGTGCCCTTGGCCGAAAACCGAAACGCGCAGTTTTTAAAAATGAATATATATATTTTTTTTGGCAAAAAATACGCCCAATTACTTCCATACAGCCCAGTGCCAGCCACCGCCCGCTATATGTCCCGGGCTCCGCTTGCCCATCTGTAGGCCCAGGACTGGTTCAGTGGGTGCCAGCCATATAAATGCATATGCTTCCCTCCCCTTCTTGGCCTGACCCAGAAGTGATGTTACTTCTGGGTCCCCGTTGACAGATTCCTGGCCATCGAGGCTGGGAAAGAATGTAATGCAGTGCGATGTGCACTGCATTACAATTCAGTGTAGTACAGGGGAGACATGCAGGGTCTAAAAGACCCTGCATGTCTCCAAAAAGAGAACCTGTCATCAAAAAATCCTTACATAGGGGACTTCCCCTATGTAAAAAAATAAATAAAAAGTAAAAAAAAAAAAAAAAGTAAGTTACTCCCAAGCATATAACCCACCAATTTTTCAAGGCCCATCCCCACATATGTACGCTCGTACAAAACGCAAAAGTGCTGGGGTGTCTACACATGAAAATGACGATTGCGCTACACGTTACATATCACTGCGCACGCCAGAATGAGAGCAACAATTTTAGCACCAGACCTCCTCCGTAACACTAAACTGACTTTTAAAAGAGTCACCTATAGAAAATATAGGTTACTAAAGTTTGTTGCCGTTTCATATCAAATCATTACATGCAGTACAAACATCTAAGTTATGGACTGGTTTTGAGGTTTTCATAAATTAACACTACAACGAAATGTGTAATCTCACAAAATTAATGAACATTACATTTACATTTCTAAGAGTATTTCAAAAATAGTTCTAATAGTATTTCAAAGGTGGGCCTATAGGTAACTCTTTTGAAAGTCATACAAGATTGTGACACATGGAACGTTCAAGGTTATCAGTCACATTTGTCAAAATTCACTTGCAAGTATTTGAAATAAGCTAGTTACGTCACACTGTTACTTGCCCTTCAAGTGAAAGTCACTACTGAACAAACCATTATTGACTCAAGAAATGTAGAATATGGTTATAAATAAAAGAGGTTAGATAGATGTAGTAAATTAATGGGTTTTCATTCATTCATTAATCGTTTCTGAAATCTCAGTCTAGTTGAGGGAGGAAAAAAGTTTATGGCAAAAATCAGAAGATCTACAGGGAGGACAAAAACATGATTCAACATGCGATGTGTATTTGGACTTTGGGTACTGCCACTATCCTCCCCCCACTGACACCAACGATGGGGCACTATTCCTCCCCCACTGACACCAACAATCCTATTCCCCCCCCACTGACACCAACGATGGGGCACTATTCCTCCCCCCACTGACACCAACGATGGGGCACTATTCCTCCCCCCACTGACACCAACGATGGGGCACTATTCCTCCCCCCACTGACACCAACGATGGGGCACGATTCCTCCCCCCACTGACACCAACGATGGGGCGCGATTCCTCCCACTGACACCAACGATGGGGCGCGATTCCTCCCACTGACACCAACGATGGGGCGCGATTCCTCCCACTGACACCAACGATGGGGCGCGATTCCTCCCACTGACACCAATGATGGGGCGCGATGCGATTTTTTCCCACTGACACCAATGATGGGACGCGATTTTTCCCACTGAAACCAATGATGGGGCACTATTCCTCCCACTGACACCAATGATGGGGCACTATTCCTCCCACTGACACCAATGATGGGGCACTATTCCTCCCACTGACACCAATGATGGGGCACTATTCCTCCTACTGACACTAATGATGGGGCACTATTCCTCCCACTGACACCAATGATGGGGCACTATTCTTCCCACTGACACCAATGATGGGGCACGTTTCTTCCCACTGACACCAATGATGGGGCACGTTTCTTCCCACTGACACCAATGATGGGGCACTATTCCTCCCACTGACACCAATGATGGGGCACGTTTCTTCCCACTGACACCAATGATGGGGCACTATTTCGCTCTATAAGACACACTTGGGGGGAAATGTCTGTGCATCTTATGGAGCAGCTGGCCCAGTATTCCCGCCACCGTTGTATGTCCGCAGTCTCTGGTCATCTCCTGTACTATGTCTGCAGTCTCTGGTCATCTCCTGTACTGTGTCCGCATTTGTTCATTTTTTTTTTTTTTTTAAACTGTAGTCCGGCCATCCAATGGTCTGAGAGACAGTGAACTGGCCCCCTGTTTAAAACGTTTGAGGACCCCTGTTCTAAAGTATACAGGACAGCATAAAAGCAAATTAGATATTCTACATTTAGTACTGTTACAATGCTTCCTGTATAGATACGATTTCTCTAATTTCACTTGCAATTACATTCAGTAACAAGATAACGTATGCATTCGCAAAACATAATAAAAGCACGATAATATCTAGAGCTGCAACTAACAGTTATTTCTATAATCAATTAGTTGGCCGTTTATTGTTTCGATTAATCTGAAAAAAAAAAAAAAAAAAACTCAAAATTGACTGTTAATTTATTTAACAAATCGATTGCAGAAATAATATATTTTTTTTTACTTTACATACATGTTATTTAAATAACCAGCTATATGGTTAAGGGAAAAAAAATAACAAACACACTTCTAGAGCTTGAATCTGGTACATACTGGAATCAGAGATCAAATTTGTAATGAAATTTTAAAGTGTAACTTTAGCCAGAATATTAAGTCCTGCTAGATTACTTCAGGCTAGCCCCTTTTGCAGGTATAGCTATGTAAAACATTAAAACTAAGTGCCTATACCACTTAAAATCCAGTAATAACTATCTCCCCCTGCATTGTGCAGGCTCGTTGCTCTGTTTTTCGGCACTATGCTGAAAATTTAGGGGTCGATTTGCTGACAGCCTAAAGATTTACTGCTGCTCAGGGGTTCTGGGCTTCAGCAAAATAGCAGCCTCCAGCAAGAGCAGTTTACAGCCCACATGTAATTTTCCAGGAATTTTCTTTTCCACAATCAGCGGTCAGTGGGTGATTCCTGCTGACAGTTGATGACCCATCTGTTAAGGGCATGGCAGCTAGCTTCCTGAAAAAAAAAAAAAAAAAAAAAAAAAAAAAAAAAAAAACTCTACAGAGGGAATTTGATCACTTCTATGAAATGGAAAAAAAACAATGGGTATTTGTTTTGGGGGTTTTTTGGGGGCGGGGGTTACGTATACATAAAAGTTTTGCCTTGAATTTCTATTTTAAACTGAATAGGTTGCTTTACAGCAGAGGGTTTACATAATCTTTAATGTAAAAAATGATGCAGGAAGGGTTTTTTTGTTGACTGAATTTTGATATAAATCTGCAAGCTGAGAGAGAGGACTATCTAAAGGGTGATTATTGCCGTGGGGAAAATTGAATCTTGTGACCAGTTATATCATTAGTTCAATTTTAAACACATTTCTGATCAAAGCTCCACACTCTAGGTACAGTTAGTTCACCTTTACAGAAAAAATGAAAAGGTGAACACAAGATACCTTCCCCACCCCATCCTGGTCCTTGTAGTACCTCCGTGGGTGCTGAGCTGTTAACGACCATGCAGCCTGTTAGCAAACTTGGGATTTGAAATCCTTGCTCCTTCTGTGTGTAGAGCATCTAGGATAGATCAAAACAATTCTGACTGCTCTGGGCTGGCACTGACCATCTCTTTCATCTGTCCTGACAGATGAAGAAAGAGAGGGAGAAGAGCGGGGAATTTCAAATCCCTTAACAGCCAAACGGAGTTCA